CTCACGCTCTCGTTCCCCAGAGCTTCGGGCTCCTGGGCCTCGGCTCTGGTGCACCCACTGGCTTCGCGTCGGCCCTGCAGCCTCCTGTTCTCTCTCCTGGGGCCTCCTCTTCTCGGTGAGGATGTCGGCCTTGGACTCGGGGCTGCCTGACCCTCACCCAGTGTCCTCGCCTCTAGGCCTTCATTTCCTTCGCAGAGAACAGTGCCCCGGGTCACCCACGTCTGATGTGTCAGAGCCTCCTTCTTCAAGGCTGAGTACTCATTTGGATTTCATTTTAATTTTTTTTAACAAATATTTTTATTGATTTCAGAAAAGAAGGGAGAAGGAGCGGGAGAGAGAGAGAAACATCCATGATGAGAGAATCATGGATCGGCTGCCTCCTGCCCGCCCCACATTGGGGACCGAGCCCCACAAGCCGGGCCTGTGCCCTGACTGGGACCCCAACCATGACCTCCTGGTTCCTAGGTCAATGCTCACCACTGAGCCGCACCAGCCGGGGTGATTTGAATTTTAGTAGCAAGACCGTGTGTTCCTGCCGTACATTCCTGGCTATAAGATGTTTCCTCGGGGGCTGCTGGCCTGACCTGGGGTGTGCCTTGCCACCAGGTTAAGCGCAACCTGCTGACCATGTCCTGCCATCTGGACCAGGACACGGATGTCATCTCCGACCTGCGCAGGCAGATCGAGCACCTCAAGTCCAAGATCGAGAGGCAGGAGCACAGGAGAAGCGAGGCCGGGATCCCGGATGCTCGAGGTAGAGCCTGGCCGCAGTGATGGTTCCGCCCTGGGGCGGGGGGTGTGAGCTCAGGGACAGACGGGGCCCTGTGGTGGGAGAGGAGGCTGGGAGGTCGGTGACCAGGGCCGGGCTTGAGGAAACGTCACACTGTTTTCCACGGTGGCGGCACCGGTTTCACCCACCAGCGCGCACAGGCCCTGTTCTCCTGCCCGGTCAGGGCTTGTTCTCGCCTGTCTTGACGACAGACACTCTGACGAGAAGGGGGGGGCGTGTCTCCCGGGCTTGGGCTGCGCTTCCCTGATGATTACTGATGCGAGCACCTTGTCAGGGGCCTGCTGGGATCTGCATGTCTTCTTCTTTAGAAACGTGTTTATTGATGTCAGAGAGGGAGGGAGGGAGAGAGAGAAACATCCGTGATGGGAGGGAATCATGGGTCGGCTCCTCCTGCACGCCCCACTGGGGATCCAGCCCGCAACCTGGCCTGTGCCCTGGGTGGGAATTGAACCCTGACTTCCTGGTTCATAGGTCAGCACTCCACCCCTGAGCCGCCCGGCCGGCCTCACGTCTTCTCTGACAAACTCTCTTAAGGTCCTTCGCCCATTTTTCACGTTGGATTATTTTTTTACTGTTAAGTTGTATGAGTTCCTTACATATTTTGGATATTAACCCTTAGCAAATATATGGTTTGCAAATATTTTCTCCTATTGATTCATTATCTACCTATCCATCCATCCACACCCCATCCACCATCGATCCTCTCTCAGCTGGATGTTTCTGTCCCTCCCCTTCTCCTTTCCTCTCTCTCTAAAAACTAATGAAAACATAATTTTCATTCGTCAATTTATTACCCACCCACCCATCCACCCATCCACCCATCATTCGTCAATTTATTACCCACCCACCCTCACAGGGCGCGAGCTCCACCTGTTTGGTGGGCAGGCCTGGAGCTCAGCCTGGTTCAGGTGGCACCGCTCTCAGTGCAGCCGGTTCTCTTCCTGCCCCAGTCGCGATGCCCGCCCAGGACCCAGAGGAGGACAGCCGCCTGCAGATGGACGAGACCCGGGGCCAGCTCGTGGGGACCTTCCAGGAGCCGCCGGAGGTGGCGCGCAGCCCGGTGGAGCTGGAGGACACCAACATGGAGCTGCATGCCGACGTGTCCCAGCACCTGCTGGCCATTGCAGAGTGAGTGTGCCCGCCGTGGGCACCGCCCAGGGCCCGGTGCCACCCTCTCGATGGGGCAGGAGGGCCAAGAAGAACCAGTGGGGTCGCTGGTGGGGGCTCCTTTTTTGCGACTGGCTAGCCTCCCTCCCCTGTGCGGGTGCCCCAGC